GTTTTTTTATGCTCAACATGCTTAGCTTGATTCATCATATCTTGAGGCAAATTGGCTAATGATGATAGCAAATTTAAGCCAATACATGTTGCATGTCCGTAAGTGAGCATCATCAATCAGAGTCTAAATCTGGAGTCTAAATCTCAAGCAGATCATTGAAGTCAATAGCCACCAAAGCATACATCACATATTCTTGTCTCTCAAATTTTCAAATGCATATGAACTCATAATGTGTAATATTTTTCCTTTCATTGAGAGCATTGCATTCTTTTGTATACTAAAATTCACCTTCAGATTTTGTATGTTTTAGAAATACTATCCCATTAGGCTTGAACATGTAAGTATTACAAATTCCAAAATTAATCACATCTAAATCATAAAACCAATTAACTAAAATAACGTGAGCAATATCCATAAGCAACACATTGCCCCAAGTTCTATTAATATAAGAAACTCATTGACTAAAAAATAAATACCTTTGGGAGCAAAAACAACAATTTTGTCAACTTCATATAGTTGCAAAGTTTTAGACACAACAGTCTATAACAGATTTTGACATGATATTCATGTAATTTTCACTATTAATGATAAGATTGCAACGTCTTCTTCATGCTTGAACAATCAAACAAAACTTTATTAAACTCATGGACATCATCATTCTCATCTAACAAATCAAACTCCCAAATCTACCAAATCATCATTCACATCGTCATTCAAAATTATTCAAATCCATAATACAATATGCTACAGGATCTAATTAATCATTAAAATAGACACTTTAATTTAAACCTTTTTGGTTATATTAATTATTTATGTCAATGTTTTAACATCAATGATTTCTATAAACTTTACTATCAAACAACCTATAATACCTAAATTGCTCATTTTTCCCAAAGTTATTCTAGTCTCCTTCTTATGTTAACATTTGAGTAAATGGTTCAACATAATGATTAGACTTCAAATTTATGTGCAAAAACTTGATTGGTTTTAAAATTTTCAGTTCTCTCATTAACTAGATTAATATCCACACATATTTAATTTTGATTATTTAATTATTTATCAAATTGATTAAGTAAAATGGTCAAAATATTATTCCTTTGATGATCCATTAAATTATCTTGATATTGAGTTCCACTTCCAACTGACATAAAGATAAAACTGATGTACTTGATACCAAATTGAAGCATGATATTTAGAGAGTAGGAGATTTTATAAACTAGAGTGATGCATTGAATGTAAATAAAAATAAAAATTTACATATCTAGCACACAATTCGAATGTATTTATATATTTTTAGCGCTTTAAACTTATGCATGAAAAAGTGTACTTCACTTTTAAGAAGGGTTAATAGTGTCATTTTTGATGTGACATTAAAGATTTTGAGTACAACAAACCTTTATCCCAATAAGTGGGGTCAGCTATAAGAATCATTTTTCTCCATTGCGTCCTATTGAGTGTCATTTTCATTTAATTCTAATAAATTAAGATCATTTTATATACAATATGTCCAAGTCTTTCTAGGTCTATCTCTGTCTTTCTTAACACAAGTCGAATCTAAAACATCTACTCTCATAACTGAGTCATCAGATAGTCGATATTTAATGTGATCAAACCATCTCAGCCAGCTCTCCCTAATTTTGTCCACCACGGAAAGGCACGCATCAACCTAAGCAGTCTTATCTCAGCAACACTTATTGGTTTTATGCTTCTCTTTAAAAGGCCAACATTCTGCGCCATAGAGCATTGCAGGTCTCACCACCATCAAAAATTTTGAGTGTCATGTGTGTAAATATAAAAGTCCAGCTGTGCGGTATGTAAATAAACAAGAGTTGTGTGCCATGTATGTAAATAATAATATTATCGCACTGAGTAGGTCAACTACATGAATCCTTCATCTCCATCGTGTCCTATTAAGTGTCATATTTTCATTTAATTCTAATAAATTAAGATCATTTTCTATACAACATACACAGGCCTTTTTATGTCTATATCTACCCTTCTTAACATAAGCCAAATCTAAAAATCTACTCTTCTGGCTGGTTCAATAAATTGTCAAAGCTTAATGTGACCAAATCGTCTAAGGCGGCACTCTCTAATCTTTTCTGCCACTATAGGTATTCAAACTCTTTCACGGATATATTTATTTTGCATTTTCTCTCTAAGTGTAAAGCAAAGTGTAAAGCCATCATCCAACCATAGCATTCTCATCTCAGCAACACTAAACATATTTTTTTGTTTTTCTTTTGCAGACCAACATTCTGCGCCATAAAACATTGCAAGTCTGATGCATTGTTTCACTTCAATCATCCAACTTGAATTCTACAAATAACATCCCCATCTATATCACCATTACATGAAGCAATAGACACGAGATATCTAAAACATTCACTCATTTTAATGTCTTGATCACCCATTAACAAACCCACCATTAGATCTATTACTACTAAAATTATATTTCATGTATTCAATTTTAGATATACTCAAATGAAAGCCTTTTCACTTTAAGGTTGACCTCCATAATTTAAGTTTTTTTTTCTTGAACTCTCTCTCTCTTATCTTATCCACAAGAAATGTATCATCAGTGAAAAGCATACACCAAGGTACATCCTCCTATAAATGTCCTATAAGAACATCCACGACTAAAGAAAAAAGATACGAGCTTAAAGCCGATCCGTGATGTAATCAATAAAATAAGAAAATACTTGCCCAATCCTCCTTGTGTTCAAACGCAAGTAACAACTCCATAAATATCTTTAATGACTTGAATATAAGCAATATCAACACCTTTCTTTCCTATAACTCTCCAAAGTAATTTTCTTGGATCTTTATTATAAGCTTTTCTAAATTAACAAAGATCATATTCCTCCTTACTCTCTATGTACTTCTCCATCAAATCTTTCAATAAATGCATAGCTTCCATATTAGACTTTCCTTGAAGCACCTAAATCAAATTTCATTGTACTGAATCACATGTCATCACAAAAAATAAAATTAATATACAAAAACAAAAACACCAACAATACTTTATCCCCATAAGTGGGGTCGGTTACATGAATCATTTCTATCTATTGTGTTCTATTGAGTGTCATATTCTCATTTAATCTTAATAGTTCACGATCAATTTTTATATAATATTCCAAAGTATTTTTAGGTCTATCTCTGTCTTTCTTAACATAAGTTTAATCTAAAGCATCTACTCTCCTAATATTCCCAAGATCATCAGATGGTCGACGTTTAATGTGACCAAATCATCTAAGACGACTCTCTCTAATCTTATCTACCACCGGAGTTACACCAACCCTATTATATTCATTTCGCATTTTGTCTCCAAGTGTCAAGCCACTCATCCACTTAAGCATTCTCATCTCAGCAAGACATAACTTTGTTTTATGCTTTTTTTTATGCTTTCTCTTCTTAAGGCCAACATTCTACGCACTAGATCATTGCAGGTCTCGTCGCCATCTTATAAAATTTTCCTTTCAATCTAAGCGGCAATTTTCTATCACACAATAGTTTCGATGCATTCCTCCACTTCAACCAACCAACTTGAATTCTACTAATAACATTCCCATCTATATCTCCGTCACTTTGAAAAATAGACCCGAGATATCTAAAATGTTCACACCTTTTAATGATTCGATCAACCATAATTACAACTTTGTCACTAGAGTTACAACTACTAAAACTACATTCTATGTATTCAGTTTTAGATCCACTCAAATGAAGGACATTAAACTCCAATGTAAACCTCCATAATTCAAGATTTTCCTAAACTCTTTCTCTAGTCTTATCCACAAGAAGGGTATCATCGGCGAAAAGCATACACCAAGGAACCTCCTCTTGCAAATGTACAATAAGAGCATCCATAACTAAAGCTAAAAGATTTGGGCTTAAAGTCGGTCCTTGATGTAATCCAACCGAAATAGGAAAATACTTAGTCTTATATAATAGGAAATTTTTATAAATACCACACAATTCCTATGTGTTTACATATCTAACACATAAAAATTGGTATTTACACTTATAACACTTTGGTATCGTAAAGATGTACAATAAGAGCATCCATAGCTAAAGCTAAAAGATTTGGGCTTAAAGTCGATCTTTGATGTAATCCAACCGAAATAAGAAAATACTTAGTCTTATATAATAGGAAATTTTTATAAATGCCACACAATTCCTATGTGTTTACATATCTAACACATAAAAATTGGTATTTACACTTATAACGCTTTGATATCATAAAGCTATGCATGATAATGTATGTTTCACTTTTAAAAAGTTAACAATGGTGATATTTTTTATGTGATGAGCCTTATAAATGTAAATATGAAAATTTACGTGTTAGATATTTAAATACACAAGAATTGTGTGGTATGCATGTAAATGCTCCTATTTTTTTAATTTCAACTTGAGATATAAGTTTAGTCTTATATGTATCTCAACAATATATCTTGCATCAAAGTCATTAAGGAGAAAACATAAACCCAATTCTTAGGAAGAGGGAACATCAAGGATCAAATTTTAGCCCAATATATGAGTGATTATGAACCCAAAAGTTTAAACCAAGTCACTACAAGTATATAAGGAAGCCAACTCTTATCATTAATTTCAATTTGAGATAGTTTTCATCCTTAATGCATCTCAATAATATCCTTAAACTATGGTAGTTCCACGCCTTGACTATTACCCCATTCAAATAAACTTTGTATCATCAACTCAATTATTTGGAGTCATTATGAGAGATTACATGCTTTAGAACCTTGCTCATCACGATAAAAAACAATAAAAAATTTGTGAAAGCCACAAGCTCCATGAAATTTGTTTTCATAACACTTATTATAAAAGTATTGCAAGCCCAAATTAAGCCAAGACATTAATAGAAGGACTCCCATCAACCTAACAATCATAGCCAATTGGTGAGCACTCAACCAATTTACTACGCTTTGCTTTCGAGCATGTGAAAGCCTTATAAACAAGAATCACAGAGAAGATGTGCTTACCAGAGAAAAAATTCGTCCCAGAGGAAGGCTGTGATGGAGGTGGCCGGGAGGCAGCACTGGTTAAAAGAGAACGCCGCACCTGGCAAGTCCTATTCAGGTTGAGAAGCTCAAAGCTCGCAACAGGATAACCAGTTTTAATGATTACACGGAAAGGAATGAAACGAGGAGCAGAAGAGAACGAAGGTTGTAGGGCAAAGAATGATGCTGCAAGGTAAGCCATAGGCTGAGGGTACTTCTTATGGATTGAGAATCTGGAAACTTGGATAGCTGCACTACATCTACTTTACAAACCTGCAATAAAATGGAAAAAAAAGAGCAAATTAATGTCATATAAACTAGAAAATTGTTGTAGAAAGTTAAAAAGAGGTGTTACTGCTAGTAAATGGAGATCGATGAAGAATATTTGCAAATTTATGTCATAAAAACAGAAATTTGTTCGAGAAAGTTCAGGTCGAAATACAGGGGAGGAGAAGACTGGTCTGGAAGGATGGCTGTTGCGGGGATGTAAGCCAGTCGAGTCGTGCTCCAGCCTTCTGGCGAGTTCGATTTCAAGGTTAAATTTATCTATGAGGAATAATAAAAAAACTATTCAATATAATACAAAATATTATTATTTTATATTTTTAATATTTAAAAAGTAAATACTTTAAATTTAATATATTTTTACTTTATTTTATGCTATTATTTTTTTAAACTAAGCGGCTAATAAGCTAAGGAGTCGAGTTGGGGCTAACTTGAACTTGGCTTGTTAGCTCATCGAGGTCGGGTGGATCACGAGCAGACTTGACTCACACCCCTATTAACTAGAGCTATCAGATGTCCTAACTCGCTTGCCAGTTACCAACTTTTGTGGAAATGAAAATGCAATTTTTCTATTTTTTTATAATTTTTAAAATGATAAATACCACAAAGTATATATATTAAGGAATGGTCGGAGGCTATGATACGAGCCCCGATCATTCCTAATGAGCCTAATCCCTTAGGCGCTTATAATTTGAGTACCACACCCTACATTCCGGGGAAATCGAACCCCAGACCAGAGGGAACTTATAACCGACAAGCATATGTCCAACCAACTGATCTGAGTACGCTTATTAGACGAGTCTCCCGACCAACCTCGCATAAAAATATCATTCTGCACATAGGTGAGATTGAACCTGTGACCCTAAGAGGTCTTAAAAACTCTATAAACCAAAGAGTCATGATAGGCGATACAAATATGTATATATATATGTACATACAACTTTTAATAACATAATTATGCAAGAAGCTAAAAATTTGTATTTCATTTTAAAAATTTAGCATAAATAATATTTTTGACGTGATGCTAAAAATTTAAGTGTAATATAAAAAATATTAAAATTAGATGCTAAATACTTAAATTTTTATGAATTATATGATATGTATTTAAATCTCTTGAATTTAATAGGTTATTTAATAATTTTTTAAAATAAATATTATTCATTTTATTTACTTTTTAAACTGATATATATTAATATTTTAGAAAGAAAAATAATTACCTATCTCAGCCCCCATAATTTCTTCGAAAAACTTTCTATCAAAGAGGAGTTTGATATTGCGTAATGTATTTTATCAGATTGATTATTATGCAAAATATATAATTATAAAAAATTGAGGTTTGTGAATCCTATCAAATTGAGATCTGTGAACCCAATCAAATTTCATTAAGATAGATCAACTAAGATTCAATCTAGTCAAACAACATTTAATTTGAAGTATATCCATTCAGCTAGACTAGCATGACTAAACAACATCTACCAAAAAAATATTTATTCCATTATTACTTGAATCAATTTCAACATATCCCATGGCTGGTCATGAATTGATCATAAATTCAAGCCCTAATCTAGCCCCTTAACCATGCTAAATCTCTATCAAATCTATTCAACATGGTTAACTGATATGTTGATAATTTTGTACTTGTTGTTACTTGTATTTTTGTATTTTACATGATAATAGTGTACATTGAGGAATGTTTTATGTTAGGAAACAAACACGAATCAAAATGGATTGAAATGAAGAAAAAGGAGCAAGATAGAGTTTTGGCGCCTAGGCGCTAGGAATTGACCCTTATATGTCAGAACCAGTCTCTTTGTAGTCAAAATACAAAGCAATCAAAAACCTGACGCTATACTTGGAGCGTCCGGGCGCTGGATTTGTTGCGTTGGGGCACCAGCTTGTAGCGTCTAGGTGCTATACTTTGGGGAAGATTTCTCGAGCGCTTGGAAAGTCAGCGTTGGACATGGAGCACTAGGGCGTCAGAAGATTAGCGCCTAGGCGCATCGACACTAGTACCTAGGCGCTGTAGAAGGGTAAATACTAGTGCCCCGTTGCCACATATGGGCGCCCTGACGTCGGTACCCAAATTTTGACAGTTTGTGCAGTTCAAAATTTAGTTCGCTATAGAGAAGATATAAATTGGACGAATACAAACATTTGGGGGCTTTTACATCATTTTTCTTTGTCATTTTGAGAGAGGAATTGGAGAAGAAGTCCAAAGCTTTTGCAAAGAGATTAGAAGATAGGAAAAGAGAGAGATTGGGAGGATTGAGAGAGTTGACTGTTTATTGCTAATGACATCCTCAAACTACTTATTTGTAAAGGAGAAAAGTGTACTTACATTGTATTTTCTTCAGAACTTCTTTGTAAAGACTTTGATTTTGATGTTTATGTATAAAACTAAGTTTGCTTTGATGACACTTATTATGTATAGTGAGTAGTCTTCTTGTTTCTCTCTTTAATTAAGAAGATAAATGAACATGACAAAGGATTTGATGATTTGAGATTGTTTGGGCTTTGATTTGAATTTAAAAAGTGTTGTGTTAACCTGAGAACTTAATTTACTTTCTACTTAGCCAGTTGATTGTTAAAACCTTTTTTGAACATTGATATCTGGAAGGATTCTATATGGAACAAAAAGAGTTAACAAAATGAACTCATTGGAATATGGATATTGCCAATGGATTCATGCAATCTTCTAAGAGTCATTTTCCATTGAGCAGATCAAGATTTTTAGGGAACTAAACTTAAGTCTGCTAATCTTCTTTAGACTACTGGAAGGGGATAATGAATAAATTTTCTCCTAATTGACACTATTTTTGAATCTAATCCTTAGTTCTATTCATCACTTGATCAATTAAAGAGAGAATTCTCAACACCTGATTTGATAAAAAAAAAGCGTTTTGTTTGTTAGGATAGACATGTTTCTCATAACTTTTCGATAACTTGCAAATCAAATTCTTGAGGCATGGACTGATAGTAGTAGGCTAGAACTTTTCCTTCATTGAGTTCTTCTAGTTATTCGCGGGATCGACAACCGTACTCAAACTTGGTACTACTGATATGACACATATTTGCGTGAGCAGCTTGTACTTCATAGCACTTGGTGTGCGTCAAGTTTTTGCAACTAGGCTCTAGTCAATCTCATGCAAACCTTTCATTCAATGTTCACCCATGGTCAAATTTGAATTCTTTTGTATGCAATGATAGGACCAAAATCAACATTCTTATAATGATGCTCTCACAATGATGTAATCAATGTCAATTCAAAGTCTATGCTTCAAATGACTCACAAAACAAAGGTTATTTTTAATATAGGAGGAAAATAATATAAGATTATAACTTTTTGCAACCTTTGGCTCATTATTTAAGAAAACAGAGAAGTCAACTTTTAATAATATGCATGATGGCTAATTGAATGAAAATCAAGGAAGTTAGTGTAATGGAGGGTAGAATTTTTACTCCATATTAACAAACCAATTGAAGGAGAATGAAGATGGGGACTTGTGAAATTGATTGATATTATATGTTTATGATATGATTTGCATGCTATTGAATTGGTTGAGGGATTAGTATTTAGACGAAGCTTTGTTTAGAAGAGTGAAAAAGGAGAGTAAAAAGAATGAATAAATATATATATA